AGTGTTAACGATATTGATAACGATAGTGCTAACAATACTAATAATGAAAGTGTTAACGATATCAACAATGGTAGTGTTTACGGTATTAGATAACGATAGTGTTAATGATATCAATAACGATTTCCAATAACGATTGTGTTAATGGTATTGATAATGATAGTGTTAACGATATCGATAACAATGGTGTTAATGATAACGATAACAGTTGTGTTAATGATATTGATAATGAAAGTGTTAATGATATCAATAATGATATCTGATAACGATAGTGTTAATGATTTCAATAACGACTGTGTTAATGGTATCTATAACAATAGTGTTAACAATATCAATAACGATTGTGTTAATTATATCGATAACAATATCCGATAATGTTAAGGATATTGATTACGATATCGATGAGTGTTAGCAATATTGATAACGAAAATATGATATCAATAATGATATCAATAACGATATCCGATAACGATAGTGTTAAGGATATTATCTGATAAGGATAGTGTTAATGATATTGATAATGATGGTGTTAATATCTATAATGATATCCAATAACAATAATGTTAATGATACCAATAATGATTGTGTTTACGATATCGAATAACGATAGTGATAATGATATCAATAACGATATCCAATAACGATTGTGTTAATGGTATCGATAACGGTAGTGTTAACTATAACGATAACAGTGTTGTTAATGATATTGATTATGATATTTAACGATAGTGTTAGTGATATTTATAACGAAAGTGTTGATGATATAAATAACGATATCTGATAACAATAGTGTTAATAATATTATCTGATAATGATATCGATAACGATAGTGTTAATAACTATAATGATATCTGATAACAATTATGTTAACGATATCGATAATGATAGTGTTATCAATATTGTTATCGATAGTGTTAACGGTATCAATAAGATTAGTGTTAAAACTATTGATAATGATATTACGTATGAAATAACTAATTTGCAAAACAATTATATCACCAATTAAAAAAATAAGATTTATCTTTTGATATTTATTTAAATATACATACATATATATATATATATATATACTATTATCATTATAACAGTACTTTTTCGATATACTATGCAGCCATAATGTTAGTAACACTTTATTTTGCTACATGTTTTATGTAGCTACTATCCTAATTATAATTAATTTATTAATGGCTACTGTACAATCAGCTGGTTGCATAAAAATTCAAGATACCTTTTTCTACAGTGATGCCTCTCGCATCTTTTGCGTCATTTTCAACACTGGCTCGTTGAATAAAAGTAACTTTAAGTCAGAATCTGCGAGGGGAATGAATAATACGCTTGACTGTATATAAATGATTTTAATTTTAAGTAAAAAATGATGGCCAAGTTTGTTGTTTGACTTGTCCCTTCTACAAAACTTCTACAAAACTCGAACAGTGCCACTAATACACTCTGCTCCACACTAGCATCATGTCTAGACCGATTATGTCCTCTTGCATCCAGGCCAGCCCGTGCCAGTCCTCCTGCACCCTGGCTCTCGGATGCTCTCCGTGAGCATCGCTCAAAACTTCGGGCTGCAGAGAGAATTTGGCGGAAAACTAAAAATCCTGCACATCTCTTAAAATACCAAACTCTTCTGTCCTCTTTCTCAGCTGAGGTTACTTCTGCAAAGCAGACGTATTACCGTCTGAAAATCAACAATGCCACTAATCCTCGCCTACTTTTTAAAACATTTTCCTCCCTCCTCTATCCTCCTCCTCCACCCGCATCCTCCACACTTACTACTGATGACTTTGCTACATTCTTCTGCACCAAAACTGCAAAAATCAGTGCTCAATTTGCTGCACCTACAACAAACACGCAAGATACAACACCAACACCACACACACTCACCTCTTTTTCTCAGCTCTCTGAGTCTGAGGTGTCCAAACTTGTGCTATCTAGCCATGCAACCACCTGTCCACTCGATCCCATTCCCTCTCATCTCTTGCAAGCCATCTCTCCTGCAGTCATACCAACACTGACTCACATAATTAACACATCTCTTGACTCTGGTTTATTCCCCACTACATTTAAGCAGGCTAGGGTAACCCCACTGCTAAAGAAACCCAACCTGGACCATACGCTACTTGAAAACTACAGACCAGTATCCCTGCTTCCATTCATGGCCAAGATTCTGGAGAAAGTAGTGTTCAATCAAGTCCTGGACTTTCTTACTCAAAACAATCTCATGGACAACAAGCAATCCGGCTTTAAGAAAGGACACTCAACTGAGACTGCCCTGCTCTCGGTCGTAGAGGATCTCAGACTGGCTAAAGCAGACTCTAAATCATCAGTCCTCATTTTGCTGGACTTGTCAGCTGCTTTTGACACTGTCAACCACCAGATCCTGCTATCTACGCTTGAGTCACTGGGCGTTGCGGGCACTGTTATACAATGGTTTAGATCTTACCTCTCTGACAGGTCATTCAGGGTGTCTTGGAGGGGAGAGGTGTCCAACCTACAGCATCTAAACACTGGGGTACCTCAAGGCTCTGTTCTTGGGCCACTTCTCTTCTCCATCTACACATCATCTCTAGGACCAGTCATCCAGAGACATGGATTCTCCTACCACTGCTATGCTGATGACACCCAGCTATACCTCTCTTTTCATCCTGATGATCCCTCGGTTCCAGCTCGTATCTCAGCCTGCCTGTTGGATATTTCACACTGGATGAAAGATCATCATCTTCAGCTGAACCTCGCAAAAACGGAAATGCTTGTAGTTTCTGCCAACCCGACTCTACACCATAACTTTTCAATCCAGATGGATGGGGCAACCATTACTGCATCCAAAATGGTGAAAAGCCTTGGAGTAACGATTGATGACCAACTAAACTTCTCTGACCACATTTCTAGAACTGCTCGATCGTGCAGATTTGCACTCTATAACATCAGAAAGATCCGACCCTTCTTATCTGAACATGCAGCTCAACTCCTTGTTCAAGCTCTTGTTCTCTCCAAACTGGATTACTGCAACTCTCTACTAGCTGGGCTTCCAGCTAACTCTATCAAGCCTCTTCAACTGCTCCAGAATGCAGCAGCACGAGTTGTCTTCAATGAACCTAAACGAGCACATGTCACTCCGCTGCTAGTCCGTTTGCACTGGCTGCCAGTTGCTGCTCGCATCAAATTCAAAACTCTGATGTTTGCCTACAAAGTGACTTCTGGCCTAGCACCTTCTTATCTGCACTCACTTCTGCAGATCTATGTGCCCTCCAGAAACTTGCGTTCTGTGAATGAACGTCGCCTCGTGGTTCCATCCCAAAGAGGGAAAAAATCACTTTCGCGAACGCTCACGCTCAATCTGCCCAGTTGGTGGAATGAACTCCCTAACTGCATCAGAACAGCAGAGTCACTCGCTATTTTCAAGAAACGACTAAAAACTCAACTATTTAGTCTCCACTTCACTTCCTAAGCTGCAATTGCCTCTTTGAATATCACACTAATTGTACAAAAAAAAAAAAAAAAAAAAAAAAAAAAAACTACTAACACTTCCCTTCTTAGACTTTACAGACCTGAAACTTGCCTTTAGTACTTATTCATTGTTGCTCTTAGTTGTGTAAATTGCTTCCTTGTCCTCAGTTGTAAGTCGCTTTGGATAAAAGCGTCTGCTAAATGACTAAATGTAAATGTAAATGTAAAACTTCAACTACTAATAAACTCCACTAATAAATACTATAAGAGTATAATAACAACGCTTAAATGACACTGTTGACTCAAGCAGCAACTAAAGTTGAGCTGCTAATCACTAATGACAAGGAGAAAGAGGTTAGCATTACCCTGAGCACAGCTGCAGTGTTTTGGACGCTAATGGCTACGGCTAACATCCGTGCAGCGGTTTGTTATTTATGGAGTAATTGCAGATTCATAGTTGACTCATAAATGCGGCCTCTCCCAACCACTGCAGACGCTACGCGGTCGAGTGGGCGTAATAACAGCACTAGCATTTGTGCAAATCCCATAAGACTGCCAAAACAGAGTACAAGTGTGTTTAGCATTCACTTTCAAACAGGCAGGGTGGACCGGCAGCCAAATTAGACGGTCAATTTCTCATTGGCGAATAAATTGACTCTGGTTTTGCAGCTTACGAGACCGAACCCTATGGTTTTGGTGCGTTTGGGTTTATTTGTATGTGACCACATATTCCGGGCATCCGCTGAGAAATGGCTGGACGCCGCTGGCAGAGAGAGCAAGTGCAGTAAGAGAAACCTGCGCTAATGCTAAACACCTCATCCAGGAATTACTAGCAGTCATTACTTTCCCCAGTGCCATCTAAACAAAATCAGTCACGTCATGAAAAACCCTCGGTGCCGGGTTTCGCCAGAGTCTCGGATTTAGCATACTTCAAGAAAAACACTCCTAGCTTGACGTTAGCAAATGATTCAAATCGAAAAACACTATACATTTCCATTCAGCTGTATCTCTGCTCAGTTTCAACTCTTAACCTAATAAATCGCTGTAAATGTCAAGGACACAAGTTAAAAATCTATGACAAGCCCTTGAACCACAAAGGAAGCAAGCAGGGTTGGGAGAATTATTATATAAACACATCTAAAGTCAGAGCTTTGCCCTAGCGGTTAGCACACATGCGCCAGCACTGCTAGAAGCGATTCTGGTACCAGTTCCTCCTTTTCTTAGATAAATGGAACAAAATGACCAAAAATTAAGACATTTTTGACATTAATATAAATTAATATATTAAAATTTGATAATATATTAAACATGATCATAATTGTGATAAAAGTGTATACAATAATATTATCACAGAGGGGTTTCAATAGATTAATGTATTGCAAACATGTTGCTTGCAAATGTTGCATGCATGGGTGGCTTTGACCAATCATTTAAACTAAATTTGACCAATCAGTTGAGACCATACTATCATTAGCCCCACCTCCCCAGTGGGCACTGTTCTGCTATTGTGCAATCTTTCCAAAAAATACAACAGAAATGATCAAACTTACCAGCAGCCGCACCACAGCTAGGGGCAAGATGACCACTCGAACAGGTACACATGTTGGGCCTCGAGCAAAAGCCATCACCACAGGAGTTCCTACAGATTGCTGGAGAGACAGAGATGTTCAGGAGTCAGGAAGTGTCTTGCAAAGCCAAACAGGTAGATGAAAAGTTACTTGTTGCAATTTTTTTTCAATGACAAACATAGTATGCACTGGGTGTTTCCTTCTTAAGCCTTTATCTCTTTGGGTTGTATTATGGTAAAGGGTTACTATGACATTACCAAAAGTCACATTCCAATAAACCAATCAGATCTGAGGGACATATTTACAGTTAATGCCAAGTTCTTATCCATCATTGTTTTTCTCTGATTTTAGGGGTAAGGTATGGATGGGGTCAGGATTATGTTTAGGAGTACGGTACAGATTTTTGGACAGGAATGTTGGTCCAAGATCAACACAAGGGGCTCTATTTTGACGGTCCATGCGCAGAGCGCAAAATGCAGGATACAAACGCTTTCAGGGTGTGTCAGAACGCATTTTTGCTAATTTACAGACGGGAAAATCTGCTTTGCGCCGTGGCGCACGGTCTAAAAGGGTTGAGTTTATTTTCTTAATGAGTTATAGGTGTGTTTTGAGAATAAACCAATCAGAGTCTCATCTCCCATTCTCTTTAAGAGCCAGCTGCGTCGCACCAAGAGCGCATTCGCTATTCACAGGACGCAAAGTAAGTCTAAGTGGAAAAAATTAGCATTTCACTAGCAAACAGTTAACAGTTGACAGTTTTTTTTTTTAACAGAAAACTGTTAAACAGAGCATTTACTGCGTGAGAATGAGAAATAATGGATCACTTTCACTTTCGCTCTTGGATAGGGAAACCTTTACGCACAGACATCAATTACTCTATAAATAAATACTTTTGTTTGTTAAGCGCAAATATTCGTTTTAAAACTATTTCTAAATTCAGTTCTAATTTCCAGCAAACGAATAAATGAACAACAATAACGAAGTGTGCTCAAAAACCTGAGTTATATCCTAAAACACATGCTGGGCCCCATATGGTCTAAAACTTGACAGGTGGGCAAATCTAAGCTTGTTTTTAATAAAACAAATATAAATATGGATATAATAAATAATACTGCTAATATTAATAACATTATACAAGAGCAAATTGTTATGAATGAACTGAAAAAGCCTCCCGAGATGAAGAAGACATAAAAGCAGTGATTTTTCATATTTACTTTATATTTATATTCTATATCTATTCTTATTATATCCTATATATATCCTTAATATTTAAATTTTTTTCATATGTAAAGATATTTGCCTATTGCTCTCTTGTGTGTATTAAGCAGTGTGTAAGCGAGGCGCAACTCTGCGCCGGAGTTTAGACCGGGTTTGTTTTGGTCTAATGAAAAATCTATTATAGTTTCTCAAAATAGCAACGCGCCATAGTGCGCCTCAGAACGCCTTCCTTTTTAGACCAGAACGCCTATGGGCGCACATATGAGCGCTAATGCATTTGCTATTTAAACAGCATAGCGCAACGCCTCAAAACGACTCTTGCGCCAAGCTGAAACTACCAAAAGACTATTGCGCCGCGTCTTGCGCCACATTGCGCCGGGTATATGATAGGGCCCAACATGTCTTACTTGGCAAAGCCATGTCAACCTTGTGTTGTGGTTAAAGGGATCAAACTCCAGAATTTGCGATTTACTGGGTTGAGTTTTTATTTCCTCTGCTAACGCTGTACCCTGGAGCAAGACACTTAATGACAATTAGCTTAAGGATAAATGCTAGCTATGGTTTAAGTGTAATGGAAGTTGCTTCATGTTTTATGGTATCATGCAACTTTAAAAACACGTACAGGGGATACTTACGAACTATACACTGGTTCCCTCCAGGAAGCGTTTTCCATCCTGGACAACAATAGGAGTGGAAGCGGGAACCGCATACGTTGGGCCTGAAACAATGGAAACAAGCCCATTTAATAGAACCCAAATATTAATCATGAGAATTTCTCAGAAACATGCAGCAGAATGAAATATGTACAGTGTCAAAGACCTTACGACCCTGTGCAATAAATACAGCTCGACACATACAATGGCCCCAACGGACTTTCCCGGGGAACAACATGGATAGAGTTTGTTTTGAGTAGGACCATAACTAAACTTCCCGAGGCAGAGATATTTACTAAAGCGACTCTTATGTTCTCCAATTCAGTTTTTTTAGCAGCATTCTCACCAAGAGTTAGTCCAGAGAAGTCTTACCCATGATATGTGTTAATAATTACAGGACCAAGCTCAAAGCTTAATGTTTTCCTGCTAAAAGCAGTACCACCAAGATATCGTAAAAGAAAAAAATACGATTTTTATGGCTTATTTTTAGCAAATAGTTTTGTTGTAGTTTTTGCAAAAACAAATTTTGTGAATTATGTCATTTCTTTTATTATTCTGTAAAAATGTACATGTCTTAATTCATTAAAAACCTCCAGGAACATTGATCTTTGTAAACACTTTGCATTGTTTGACGACTATTTGAACACATTGATGAAATGACGCAGAGCATGCACGCTTAATGCTGATTTATATTGACGTGACCCATGGTACCTGCCTTGTGCGTAGTCGTGGATTTTTACTTTTGCATGCTGTTTGTGTTGCTCTGCAATAACATTTCTGAAACACTAGCTGGCAGTAAGGTTTTTGTTCTTCTGTGTCAAGTTTCGTTGCGGGTGTTTTGTTTTTCCTGAACGCTACAAGTAGTTAAAACTCGCTCATTCAGAGGCGAGAACCGGTCAACGTGCAACTTTCATCATACGGTAAACACAAAAGTTTCTATCTGGAGCTTCTTCACAGGACTCGACACTTGTAAACACTCACTCCATCGTGCTCGCGTTTCGCAACACTGTCCACGCTTGTCGCCGCTACCAAACTGACCAATCACAGAGCTTGCGCTCCGTGTTGTTTTTTGAGAGGTGCATATCAGACAAAGCGAGGGCTATGCGACTGCTTGTAGGATGCGCTGAACCATTTGTGTGCACTTGATGCAGAAGTATAAATCAGGCTTCATGTTTGTGTACGAGCACGCTTGTCTGTGTATGCATGAGACGGAGAAAAGGCTATGCTTAAGGCTCCGGTGTACTTCAAAAGAAATTTAAAAAAAGAAGTACAAGACATTTCTAAGAATAAAAGTTATTTTTGAACTTGTTTTGGCAGTTCAAAATGTAATGTAATGCAAAACTAGGCAGATGGTGCTTTGTGGCATGGCGGGAATCTGAACAGTGTCCTGACCAAAATATGTTGTAAATCTGTGGAAATTAAAACAAATGCAAGCTCCACCAAATTTTGCCACTTTTGCTTTGCTTTGTTGGTTCAATTCTCTCAGTGTGATAAATAAGTTAATTTAATAAGAAAAATTTTGAACCTAGATGGAAAAATAGCGGGGAGAAAACAGACGACTATGGCTCAGTTATACCAAAGACAAGTTTTGAGCAAAGCTCAAAGTATTTTCTCAGACGATTCCCATCATGTTCACCACGATTTTTATCTTCTCCCTTCTGGTATAAAACTCCAATTTAGTAAGATAAATTGGTTCAAACTTTCATTTATCCCCTCAAGCTGTAACGTTTTTAAATTTAGGGTAGATTGGTATTGTGTTTATGTGTGACATGGTTGTATGCTGCAACCAAATTGCCTTCGGGAATTGAATAAAGCCTGACTGATTGATTTCAAGTTAAATTCAGCAATTGCGGAATCAAGGAGTCCTGTAGGGTGTGTTAAATGCTGGTTCAAACCCTGCACTAGTTTCGGGGATCACTGTTTAATGTATATAGGACTTGATCCAGGATGACCTGGTACTTGCAAATGACAGCTTAAAGGCAAAGTGCTGTTTTAGCGGTTTTGTTTCAAACACCCTCAGGATCTCCGTCAAACCTGGAGCCTCAATGCGAAAACGGTTTTATTTCTATCAGCACCAAGTTAAGCCTGCTGTAAATGGACCTTTAAAAAAGCCACAAGGTACATCTGTCTTTCTGCACACACACACACACACATAAATTCCTTTCCTCAAGATGTTTACCGATGTCAGTCACCTGAGGACGAACAGCTGTAGTTTGAATCTTTTGATGGATTTCTAAAGGCATCGCCAGACGACACAACTGCTAACAGCAAAAACTAAACCAAGAGATGTGGAGGAATAGAAAGAGTAGATGTTGGAACATGCAAACGGAAAATGCTGGGAAAAGGGCAAGATTGGTGGGAGGTAAAGAAAACAAGTGGAAGTGAAAAGTTTGGGGGTCTGGGAGGTGGCCTGTTGAAAACAAAAGCCGCAGCAGAAATTAGACCAGAAGATGATGAATTATCAGCAACGTGGAACCAAAGAATCTTATTTCTCAACTGGAGGCTGAAATATTAAGTCTGAAATGTACAACTGCAATGTTTAGGCCTAGATGCCAACCAAAATTTCTTTTCTGAAATTCAATGTTGTTCAGTTCAGCCAAGATTGAATTTTCTGTCATCTTTTACTCTTCCTTTATTTATTTTAAGCCTTCATGAGTTTCATTCTTCTGTTGAACGCAAAGAAAGATATTTTGGAGAGTTTTGGAAAGTGGCAGTCATTGACTTCAATAGTATTTTGTTGTCCTTACAGTGTCAATGGCTGCAGGTTTACAACATTCTTCAGTATATGTTCTTTTGTGTTCAAATGAAGAAAGAAATTCATAAAAGTTGAGTATTACTTGAGCGTGAACCTGCATTTCGGCATTTATTAAATGTCTAATAGAGATCTGAACACAGAAGTCTTGGCTAAAACAAGGTTAAATTTGGGCTATATCTAATATTTCAATCAATGGGGTATATGCCGAAGCATGCTAATAGGATTTTTAATTTGCCAGTAACCTGGTTTAAGCGCTTCCGGCGAATTGTATGCCAATGCAAAAATCGGCGGGTTAAAGGTCTGTTTTCTTTTAAAATCAGCGATCTCCACTAGCTGAGTGATATCCGATTTAAAGTGGGTCTCAGATTGTACAAGAAGCCCTGCATTAAATTACATTTATAATATGAGCATTTATTTTACCCCAGTATATTCAATGGAGCTTCTGCGCTAGCCTGCCGATTCTGATGGACGCGTGCGAGTAAACGGCTTTTTGTCTCGTTTTACGCTTGAGCAACTTAATGAATGCCAAAGTTTATTTAACTGAATGTATTTTAATGACATTACAACATCGATGCTGTAAAAGGAACTGTATAAAATGGAAAAAAGTTCACAATAACAGGTCACCGGAAGTTTATCAGTATGGGAAAAACACTAGCTCAGCATATATCCTATTGTCCACTATTAGACAAACTACACATGAAGTCATTCATTCCTGTATATTTGATGATTAGTCTAGTTTTGGGCTGCAGATTTTCTCTAGCAACTCAAATTCAGCCTTGTTTTAGTCAAGATGATGTTAAGGAAAACTAATTTATTTTTTTGTCACTTTGGTCTCTTCATTATACATTTGTACTGATTAAGGTTATATATTACCCAATCTTCATTTTTTGCAGAAGTAGATGAAGCTGATAGAAATGCAAAGGCCTGAATGTCTAAAATTAAAAATTAAAGCTCCTGTAAGCATACATGGGTTAAAACTGAACACAGAATGTTTGCAGTTGAGAAGTCTTATGCTTTTAATGTTGTGGAGAAGAATTCGTAGAAAAAGAGGAAGTATGTTTGGGTGCAGCTGCCGGTGGACTGGAGAATGATTGACAAGTGATGAATTCCACTAAACTCCACCTGTTTAATCAGCTGTGTATAAAAGCTGGAGTCAGGAAATGTCCATGTAGTTGCGCACCTCTTGAATGTAATTCTTGCATTGCATTGAGGATGCCAGAATTCGTTTCATCGAATAATTCATTTGTGTACAATAAATGACTAACACTTTTGACATTGAAGAAAACTCTCTCCTGACCTTTTTTATTGGACAACCATGGAATTGGTTAAATATTCTAACAATGACTATTAGATGTCTATTAGACGTCTTTTAAACACAACAATGCTTGTTCGGGGGGAATGATGAGGAAACTTTAATTTTAGCGTGAACTGTCCCTTTAAGTCAACATTAGGGCTGCACAATAAATCATTTCAGCATCGATATTGCAATGTGTGTGTCCGCAATAGTCACATCACAGGATGTCCAATAATGAGGGATTATAGTTGATAAACTCAACACTTGAGATTTACATGAGAGTCATAGCAAAGTTTAACTATAAGAGTTATCATTTACATGTATTTTAAAAGCATTTAAAGAGATTTTAAAGCATTCGGGCATAAAAAAAAAAGTAAATTTCTAACATTATTAACTAATTGTTTGACTGAGTGTGGTTTAGTTATAAACTAATTTCGAGAGGATCACATGCTTATGCTTGAACACGGCTGGTATCGCATCAGCTCATTGTATTGCACCAATCAGATGAATACTGACACATTATAAATAACCACAGTTTTCCACTCCAGTCATCTGCGCCTTGAAGAATCCACCTCTACTCCCCTTCTCTGATAGGGCGGCATGGCAGCCCAGTGGTTAGCACTGTTGCCTCATAGCAAGAACACCACTGGTTCAGACTCTCGCCAGGCCAGCATGCCAAATACGCTTTATTATCAATCTTCAATTAATTGTGAACTCTTGAAATCAATACAACAAAGGGTATACAGTGTTATTTTACACGTCATTATTCAATTTCTATACCTGAATAGCATTTAACTCTGCCTTTTTTGGTTATTTTTGCTTGCAATTTGTTTATTATTTTTAAAAAATCACCTTAGAAAATCACTCAAGTCAATCTTAATGAACGATTTATTTCCATTTATTTTCATATATGTATGTATATATATATATATATATATATATATATATATATATATATATATATATATATATATATATATATATATATATATATATGTATATGTATGTATGTATAT